AACCCACCCCGCGCAAAACACCACCCTTCCACCATAAAACCCCTTACCCCAACACACACACACACACACACACACACACACAAAAGCCCTCTCCCCCCCCCCCCATGTCCCCAGTTTTGACCTGCTGCTTGAGGAGCACTCTGTGTATAAGGTTGAGACCATTGGGGACTGCTACATGGTGGCGGGGGGGCTCATCTTCACGGACGCACAGGTTTGGGGTGCTGGGGTGCTGGGGTGCTTGGGGTAGGGCGGAGGACGGGGGGAGCATGCGAGGGGGGAGAAGACAGGGGTTCAGGCGCCCGCACGAGGCGCTGTGAATAGCTAGGGCGCTTCACTCCTTGCTGCGCCCACGCTTTCCGACCTCCCCAACATTTGGGCAAGTGATTTGCTCCTCAGCCCCCTCGCTTACTTTGAAACTGCATGTTAGAAGATTGCACGGCACAGCTCGTGTTTGCTGTAACATCCTTGACACTCGCGCGCGCACACACACACACACACACACACACACACACATACACACACTCTCACACACACATCCACACGCACGCACGCACACGCGCAGGGCTACCGCTCTGTGCTGCAGAGCCAAGTCGACCCCCTACACGCCCAGCGCACACTCCGCTTCGCGCGCGCCATGCTGGCCGCCGCCGCCGCCGTCCCCATGCCCGGCGGCGGCGGCGCGCACGTGCAGCTGCGCGTCGGCATCCACTCGGGCCCCGTGGTCAGCGGCGTCGTGGGGGCACGCATGCCCAGGTGAGCGACCGGCTCTTCCGGGTATCGGGATGGGCGCCGTCGCCGAGGGCGGCGGCAGCTGCGGCGGCGACGCCCCCTTTGGCGGGCCGGCCAGCGACGGCTTGCGGGGTGGGGAGGGGGGTGGCGCGGATGTACCCCTGGACCCAGCTGTCACGTCTCGACCTATCCAATCGGGCCGTCGGCATGCTTGCGGCGCACGCAGCGCATGTGCCGGGGCACCAGGCTCCCAGGAGACACCCCAGCCTGCCCTTGCCCTGGAATTCCCCCTTTCCTCTATTCCCCGCGCCCTCGCACCCGCCCGCACCAAACAACAGCTGCACACGAAACCCGACCCACATCGCCCCCGCCAGGTTCTGCCTGTTTGGTGACACCGTCAACACCGCCAGCCGCATGGAGAGCACCGGCCCGCCCGGCCTCATCCACGTCAGCGCAGACACCCGCGCCCTCGTCGGCGGCGACTGCTGGGCCCCCACCGGCGGCGTGGCCGTGAAGGGCAAGGGCACGATGGAGACGTTCCTGTATGACGAGCGGGCCGCCGCGCGCCGCAAGCGCCGCACGTCGTCTCAGAAGCGGCAGCTGCTGGAGGAGCGGCGGCGGCAGGACGAGGCGGCGCGCGCGGCGCTGGAGGCGCAGCTGCAGCAGGC